GTGTGACCTCAAAGACAGGCACTGCTGCCAAGTTTCATTAATTTTTACATTTGTATCTCCCTTTTTGGATATGTGCTTTACAAGATGTGTGGGTTGTGTTGTGGGGGACAGGGGACTGTTGTGGTAGCATGGAGGCACATCATTGCTTGCCTTCACAGAATGTCTCTGTAATCAGACATGGGGAGAAATGTGAGATGTGATTGTGGTAACAAAGTTTGTATGTGTGCAGTTTATACGGGTGTACTTACAACAGAGATACTCAACATATAACCATGTAAACCAGTGTATGTACAACCATGTGCACAGATGTACAACAGAGACACACAACCATGTGTACATATGTTCAGGAGACACACAGCCATGTGTACAGATTTACAACAGACACACACAGTCATGTGTACATATGTACAACAAAGACACCCAACCATGTGCACAGATGTACAACAGACACATATAACCATGTGTACAGATGTACAACAGGGACACAAAACCATGTGTACAGATGTACAACAGAGACACACAACCATGTGTACAGATTTACTGAGGTATATGTGGATGTTTTCTGTTCTAGGGTGATCAGTCTCCCCTGCCCAAGTATACGTGGATGACTGTTTTCTACTAGTGGGATTGTGACTGTTTCTCCTAACAACTGTGCAGTGGACACACTTACAATACGAGACATGACTCTTTGACAGTATAAGTCATTGGCATCTACAAACACATCAAATACAGGAGCCCAGACTCTAAACCCCTGGCAAGGTCTAGTAACAGCGGATATCCCACTTTTTTATACAGTAGATAACATCAGTCTCTTCACTCCTCCGCAGGCTGTGGATTCAGCAGACAAGGTAATACCCCCACACAACACACAATCCACCATTGAATTTTTGCTGTGGAGATGTCCCACATGAACCCACCTAGAGACCCATGTGTACTGTATTTTTGTCTACTTTGAGCTTATGGTTAGTCCTCACATTTAGATCCTCAGATGATGCAGTTCCTGCTTCCCAAGCCCATTCATTACTCAATGATCATTCTCTGTGACTGTACATAGTTGTTGTTCCCCGACACCATTTTATTACCGATACCTGTGTCATGGTTGCCATTATGTCAACATTCATCTTTTCTCATTCTTTTTTAAATACCATTAATTAATTACTTGTGAAATAAATGCTGAAACCAGTTGATGTTTTCTTGTCTTGTATTTCTTACACATCATGGTTGATCGTTGTCATCCTCATATTTTTAGTAAACATTATTTTATGTGAAATGCATAATCTGTTTAAATCACTAGTAATTTCTGGTATCATAAGGGCTAATGGGCTGCAATGGTTGTGGCATATGGAAAGAATGGCAGATAAGAGAGGGCCCAAAACTAGAGACAATGGCTGTAATAGAGAGAATGAAAGATAAAAGAGAATCCAAAATTAGAGAGGATAGCTAATAACAGAAAGACTTAGAGAGAATGGCAGATAACAGAGAGACCAAAATGAGAGAGAATGGCAGATAACAGAGAGACCAAAATTAGAGAGAATGGCAGATAACAGAGAGACCAAAATTAGAGAGAATGGCAGATAACAGAGACCAAAATTAGAGAGAATGGCAGATAACAGAGAGACCAAAATTAGAGAGAATGGCAGATAACAGAGAGACCAAAATTAGAGAGAATAGCAGATAACAGAGAAACCAAAAATAGAGAGAATGGCAGATAACAGAGAGACCAAAATCAGAAAAAATGGCAGATAACAGAAAGACCAAAAGATATGTGGAGCACTAAAGAATGTGTGCACTGAGATGAGCATCAATGCCAATCCATCACCGAATGGCATAATATCCGGCAGGCCAGCTACCTAGATTAGAATGCTGGTCGAACAATGTCACACCAGATACAGAACATTAATCTTGCCGTCAGATAGGGAGACACTCTGACCATGGATCTAGGGTGCAGGGTACGCCAGGCTTGAAATAAGACGGGAAAGTGGGGAAGATGGATAAAAACAGGTGGACAGATAGATGACAGCGGGGTAAGAAATCACCCAGGTTTTGTGAAGAAAAGATAATGAAATAACAAGAAAGAGGAGAACAAGGAGAGAAGCAGATCAGGAGGGCAGTTGGTCAAGGGGCACTGAGCTGGGTGGTCGACAGGCACGGTAGCTTGTGAAAATAAGAGTTTACCAAATGGCCAACCTTACAAGATCAGACAGTTTTACTTTCTCACTCTCTCTCTCTCTCTCTCTCTATCTATATATATATATATATATATTTATAAACAGTGGTATTTACAGCTGACTGTAATTGACCAGAAACACTGCTATATTATGCTATAAGGAAGCATGGAATCACAGCCCATGGTGATGGTGTGTGTGATTCCCAAGGTGTTTCCTTCTACAATTAGAGAATAGGATTTCAGGATTAAAGCTGCCACAGTCGTATGTTTAACATTCTTTTCAGAAGCTCTTAACCCGCCTGCAATCATTTCTTTTCCCTTTATCCCTTTCCTCTCCAATAAACTAGTCTCAGCCTGAGTCTTCTACAAACATTTTATTGTAAAATCTGTTTGTGTTACTGGCTTCTTGTAAGATCTTTGATGTTATAATCTTCTGCTCAATTCATTATGGAGCAATAGTTAAGATGGTTTAGCCATATTATGAGAATGCCTCAGTACCAGCTGCCACAGAACCACATGGAAGAGATTTTGGTTGTAAATTCAGTTCTCATTTGATTCACACAAACCGTTTCATTTTTACTTACTTTACAATGAGCTGTAGCATCAGCACAGCCCAGACAATTGGTCAGAACCTCATCTTCATCCCACGCTGGTCAGGTCCTCATCATCAGCCCATGCTGGTGGTCAAGTCTGCATCTTTATCCCATGCTAGTAAGATCCTCTTTATCCCATGCTGCTGATAGGGTCCTCATCTTCATCCCACGCTGGTCAAGTCCTCATCGTCAGCTCATGCTGTTGGTCATTATGCCACCCACATTCCTGCCTTGCATGCTGTCAGCAAGTGTTTCTTTGTCGAGCATCCTCTTCCTAGTTATTTCACAGGCTCTTTTACTCTCCAATGTTTCTGTTACATTTTTTAGTTGTCTTTTTGCTGTGTTTTTTAACACATTAAAAATGTAAAGTATCAATTCCTGATTCATGAAAACCAGTTACAAGAAGTAGAGGCAGAGATCAGCCAGCATGAAGGTGGACACATGACCCCTACATCATAAGATATGAAGGATACACTTTTTTCAAAATAATTTTAGACAGGTCACAAATTTTAAAGTGTTTTTTTTTACATTGTATTAATTCATATTTTTAATGACCCATAAGGATCAAGGCCAGACAAGGCACCTTAATTAAGTGGTATCAAAGCCCTGGTTTAATTTATGATTCCAATCATCACAAACACACAGGTTCCACATCTGATGCATCCTCAGCATGACCCAGTGAGAATCAATACTGACATTTATAATCTGTTTAAATCACCACTAATTACCAGCATCAAGGGGACTAACAGACTGTAATAAGTGAGACAAATTGAGAAAATGGCAGATAATAGGTTAGTTGCGTATCCTTTACTGGATGTTGCAGAACCAACCCCAGCTGCCCCTGGCTGTTGTGTGGTTTCTGTAGACAAATTTACGTCTAGTAGTTTGCCACTGCTTTTTGGACAGTCCGCCCCCTGATACCACTGTCAAAACCAGCACAAGGCGCATGGCCCGCAGCTGGGATCAAACCTGACACCCCAGCATTATGAAGCGTGCGCATCGACTTAGCCACAGAGCCGACCGGCAGATAATAGAGAAAGACAAAAAATTGTACTTTTCAGCTTTTTCACCCCATATCGGGGGTTTTGGTAGGGAATTTCTAGTGAGTTCCATGGAAGGTTCAATAATTTAGTGGGGTTAGGGTTCGTATCTTCTTCTTTTCATCTGCCCGAAATAGATTATCTTTTATTTCCAATGTCGTTTCTAGTATGGACTTCATTGTATTCTGTATTTTACTCAGCAACCCCTAAAGTTCGGCTTGAGCCTGTGTTTCTCTTGTGCAGACCTTAGGCAGTGGGATGCGAATTGGCAATATTTTGAGACAGCCCTAAAAAGAGCCATCTTGTGGTTTCAGCAAGGTAGGGTCCTGAAAAGGAGCGACAATCTTCATATATGCAAATTCGTCAGCTAGGGTTAAATGCAGGACTGCCGACAGGCGAAGGAAATTCACAGCGAAGGTGAACTCACAAAGTAAGAACACTGCTTGCACAAGAGATCAGCTGGAAGTGCCAATCTCCTCTTTGGGTATTCAATAAATATAATGTTGCAGGCAGATTTTTCCAAGTGTAGCCTGCTCAATGGCGTGTGAAGCCTACGATTACAATGTCCAATCACACAGTGACTGTTCTCATGCCCGTGGGTCTTCAGTTTATACTCGTCAATGTGGGGTGTGTAGTATGCTTAGGTTCTTGTAAATGTCTTTTATTAAGACAAGAACTGCAATATCAAACCTGTTGTTGGCACTTTTCCAGATAGTGCTGCACTCCAATAAAAATGAAATCCTAACCTGCACAGTTCATGGCAACAGCACTTGTCATATGGCGATAAATCATCAGGCTCAAAGACCCCTCCCCCTTTACAAAAGTAGCAAATACAGGTAGTGATTTGCAGGTTTTTTTGGGGGGAGAAAGTATTCAATGTGTGGGACGCATAGGAAACACAACCTATGGTTATGGCGAGCAAGACCAATAAGGCCGGGACGAAGTTTCTCCTCTCCAATAGCACTGAGCCTGTGCAGTAAAGAAGAGACCATGTGTTGCCCATGGTTTCTTTGTTAACCCTAAAGAAGTCAAGCCAGCTGTGCTACACCAACAGTCAAAGAAAAACAATCTGTGAAAAAAACTCTCAATGTTAGCAAATAGTTTCAACTGAAATTTTATTAAATATACAAATGTACAACAGAATTGTTAATCAACTCTCAACATAGACTAACTAGGCCAGCTGCAAGTCCCATCTGTTGATCATCTGCCCTTCAGTTTTCGTTTCTCCATAGCATAAGTTACAAGACACTGTCGAACAACCTGGTATATTTTTTGGCAGTTTTCTATACAGACTTGTTGACTCTGAAACGGAAGAAAATCGACATGAAGATTCTCTAACATCAAGTCCTAACACTTACCTGAAGATTTATAAACAGTGAGATCAAACATTTACAAATTATGGAACAGTGAGATCAAACACTTGCAAGTTCTGTAACAGTGAGATCCAACGCTTACAACAATTTCTGTAACAGTGAGTAGATTAGGTTGGTGAGTGGTGCGAGGAGACAGGTTTGGTCACTGACCCAGATAGGCAGCAGTATTGTGGTGTTCTTTAAATAACAGATGTGTCAGAAAAGTGCTGCCGGACATCACAATAAACTGCAGTAATATAAAGAGATAATAAACTAAAATATCTCAGAATTACTTTTGATTAGGGGGGGGGGGGGGGGGGCGACACTGAAGGGTAACAAGAGGCAGACTTTTCATTAGGTTGTAACTGATACTATTTATTAGCATGTCACCTCTTCGTTGGTTGCTGAAGAAGGGGACAGAGCACATGTGGGAATATCTCGAGTACACTGAGGTCAATTCCTGATTAATTCATTCTTTTTGTAACAGTGAGACCAATACTTACAACAACTTCTGTAACAGTGAGACCAACACTTACAACAACTTCTGTAACAGTGAGACCAACACTTACAACAACTTCTGTAACAGTGAGACCAACACTTACAACAAGTTCTGTAACAGTGTCTTGTAGTGTGCTAACGTTGTTGCTATCCATTAATCCATGCACAACTTATGATAATTAGCCCACACTAGACTAATAACGTCTGGAATCCACTGGTCCATCCCACCCTAAGTCAACACTCACTCGCCACAATACTGACTCAAGTCCGCTGACATCTCCTGGCTTAAGTCAGGTCACTGGACATTCCCGTGGATGCCCGAAAACACCAATTCACACAACACTGTCCCCAAAAATATTACAACCCTTCCAAATCCACACGAATCAGCAAGCAACATGTCTGTAACATTGAGGTTTTATATACCTGTTAAATAAATATCTGAAATGTTCCAGGAAGGAAATGTGAAGACAGCAAGCTCTCCATCTCAAAATATGATCTGGTATATGTCAAAGCATATCATGTGCCCCCCCCCCCCTTTCTCTTCTCCCCCCCCCCCCCCCAAAGCATTAAACTGTACCTAGCCTCTCACAGGCAAAGCTGTCAAGCCGTTTGACTAATTTTCATGTGCTCATTTCACTGACCACATCATTCAGTACTTAAGTAAATCACTTGGTATGGTGGTTGGTAAGTAAAGAAAGATCCCATGCAGATCACACCTTTTCATGCCTTTAAGCCCATTGGGCATATGGGAAGAGCACCCATTTTTGTACAGACCAATCGGCGCTAGGTGGGTAATGTGGTCAGCATTACGCCGGCCGTCTTTACTTTTCCAGGACATACATACATCCTGGTACCCATTTCAGGCTGAGTTGACCTGGAACGCCCTATACGATAAAAATCCATGCAGCCCGCAGTGGGTTTCGATCGCGGTACATTGGAGTTACAAGTTGGACTCGCAACACCTAAGCCACGTTACCTGTTTGAGTGTGTCCAGTGACACCTGGCCATCAAATGATACCGCTGACACTTGATTCACAGAGGGAAGGAATGCCATGGTGGTGATACCTGCTGATTCCACTTTCTCCTGTTAAAACAAACATTTCAATTTGGAAAACTGTGAAAAAAAAGGCCACTCTCTCTCTTCTTATTATTATTCACCAGCTGTAAACTCCGGCAGAAAGTTCTGGCTGCTCACACACTTCTGAACTTTAGTCATGTTCCAAGACTTAGCGCACTGTGTGCACATCTGTTTTACATATCTGTCTTATTTGTATACAGTCTGCCAGTTCTCTGCCGTATAGTAGCGGTTCTCAACTTGTAGGTCACAACCCTTTTGGGAGTCGACCGCCCCTTTCACAGGGGTCACCTAAGATCATCAGAAAATGCACGTTTAGTGTAATTATGAAGTAACAACGAAAATATATTTTAAAAATTTGGGAAAAGGGAGGGAGTGGGTGGGGGGGGGTCATCACAACAAGAGGAACTGTATTGAAGGGTCGCAGCATTAGAAAGGTTGAGAACCATTGCCTTACACGCAAATGCATTTGAAGGCAGCTGAACTCCAAAAGAATTGTCAATTCTTTCTCAGCTGGCAAGACCGCCCCCCCCCCCCCCCCCCCCAGTTCAGAAACTTTCTAATATGCCTGTGGAGAGGTACAGACAGGTTCAGCACCTTTGCATCTCATTCGTGACCTGTCTAAGAGTTCATGTGCAGATGGCTCCATAGCATGACAACTGTGACATCAAAAAAATGAAACTAGTTCTCTTAGGTAGAACAATGGGATTAGCAGTCTAAAAAACAAGCTTCTTCTTCTTCGCATTCACCAACTGTAAACTGTAGGAAAGTTCTGGTTGTTCATCCACTTCAGGACTTTTTTCAGAACTTGAGTGTTGAGTGTGCATCCATTTGACAGATCTAATTTGTATGCAGACTGCTGGTTCCTTGCCTCTCAGGCAGATGCACTTTGACTATGAAGGAAGCTCCCAATTAGTCAACTCTTACGCCATGATTTTGGGTAGGCAGTGGGTCTATTCTTGTGTTCCCTATAATAGGGCCCTGGAACCCACATGGGGAAGAAACCAGCTGAAAACCATAAACTGATGAGGAAATCAAACCACATTTTACATCTGGGGGAAGATGATCCTGCGCATGTGCGCCTGTTAGCTTTGTCTTCAAGACACATGGATTCCTCAATGATCAGCAAGAGGCTAAACACATTGTATGGGGCCATGTACTGACATGATAAAAGTTAAATTATTTTCTACATCAGGGCTATTCGACTGGCGGCTCGCGGGCTAAATCTGCCCTGCAGAGGCCTAGCAAATGACCTGCGGATCATCACTAGCTATATTGTGTTAATGATCTTTTTATGCCGCAGCTCAGGCATCTTCCCCGTGACAATCCCCATTAAAAAAATTGTGGCTCCTGAGAAAACTGAGTTGAATAGCCTTGTTCTACACAATATAACAGACAATACACGTGTCTGCCTGTCATTCTGGAAAATACTCATGTTACCTTCACAGATTATGATCAGATTTAGTTTGTAGTGTACAGGTTATCACATCTGCTCAACATGCGGAAGGTCCTGGGTTCAAACCCCCAGCTGAACTTAATTTTATTTTTATTTTGTATATTTTAAGTATCATTGTTCTCAGAACTGTCAGTAACAGATGGTTCAAGTATTTAAAAATTTTTTTTAGGGGGGAGGGGGCTGACCAGACTGTAACCCTGAGTCACAGCCTAAGGATCTGAGTGGTAGGAACCTTCCAGACCAGGTCTTCCTGTAGTGGGCAGGGGTGTGGAGCAGTTGAGATGGTGGCAGCTTCATCAGTCAAATTTGTGGGGCGTAAAATGGGTAAGAGGTGGCAGGAGCCTCAGGTGAAGTAGAAGACAGCAGGATCAAATTTTCTTTCACTATTCAAAGCCATATTTACAACAATACGAAGGAGACAAACACTGTTCTTTGGCCACATAATGAGAAGGGAGGCACTGGAAAACATCGTGACAACTGGAAAGATCAGTGGAAACAGGTGTAGAGGCAGACCAAGAGATGAAGCTGGATGGGCTGAAACGATGGCATGGAGGGATATCAAGAGAACTGTTTCAGGCAACCAGGGATCGTGATCTGTGGAGATGCATAAGCGCCTACGCTAACTGGCAAGGCACATGATGATGATCTGAAGCCAGACATTTAAAATCTCATCTATCACATTTAGTGACACTGGATACAAAATGGGAAAATGGTCAAAAGACAAAAATAAATACTCGGATGACAAAAAAATAGCAGGCCAAGACAACCATATAACCCTGCTTCAAAACTAAAGAATATGTGAGATGACAAACCACGACCATTCACATTTACCAGCTTCGAATGTGACAACAATGTACCTAAGGTGGAAATCAAAAGTAACTAACAAAAGATTAAGTGGACTGACTTCATTGCATGGAGCTTTACCCCACATTGCTCAGTCTCTCTCACTAGAACAGCTAGCCAACTGCTGAGTGTTACGCACACAGCTCTGCTCCAGTGACACTCCCCACGGATCTCTGTAAAAAGTGCCCCCCCCCCCCCTCCCCAACAGTGCCATCCATGAAACAAATCAACAGCCTTCATAGCTGGGGACAAAAGGCTTAAACAGTCAGACATAAAAACATACAGAAGAATGAGAGAACAGAAGAAGGTAACCTACGCTACTGTCAAGAATTGCGTCCTCCTCCTGTGCTGTTGGATCTGTCAACATCTGAGTTCCACATATGGCCTGAGATCAAAACACAGCAAACAGAGAACCAACTCAGTCCAAAGCCAGCTAATGGTACAAGTATGGTACACAGTAACAAATGTGACTGGTGGCTCACTATCAACATGCACCAAAGTTGACCAAATTATGGTGACCTCAGCTGGCAACATGCATTTTAATGGAAACATCAATAGGTTCATTTGCTGATGTCACAAATTGTAATACCCAATTTCCAGGGTCTTCAGTAAATCTAGATTGATTGTTACTTCACATGCTAACCTGCTGAAGCTACAAGTTGTGATACCAAATTTCCACCACTAAGTCTAAATCTATTTATGCACTAATGCCAAACTGCTCAAGGAGCCAGGTGCAGTAACTCAGAAAACAATTCACCCCACTCAACTCTATGGATTTTCCAAAAAAATGTGTTAACCGTTTACTTGTCATTAAATGCATACCATTTATTTTGCATACATGAAATTCTTCTTCGACACTCCTCTTCAAAAGCACAGCTGGCTTGTGTTGTTGCAGTAAGCCTCTCTAGGAGGTTGACTTTTACGAGCGCTTGTTAAGGGATAATATGCCAATTATTTTTCCTCCAAAATGAAGCACCAGAATGCCCTGCTGACAAGAGTTGTGTGTTAAACCTGCATCTACACAGCTTCCTGCTTCTGTTCCCCCACCCCCCCCCCCCCTCCCAACAATGGAGCATGGACATACCACAAACTTCTGCCAGACTACTGATACACATTTCATGACTGGTTGGATTTTATAGCTAAAGTCTGTCTACAACGGGAGGCAGCCACTCCGACACCAACTCTCTCCTTGTCAGATGTACGGCATGTTACACTGCTACTGTGTCTATATTTGCCTTATAGGGTCAGGGACAGACCACTTGCTACTCCACTCATACACTTGCTAGGCTGACATGGATGGATCACCATCCTGCATCTTCATTTGCCAATGAATTTCACACCTTCGCTGCTTTAAAAAATGCTCCTCATTTCTGCTGCATGTCTTCTTCTTCTCATTCACTGGCTGTAAAATCTGACAAAATTTCTGGTTGTTTGTCCACCTCCGGACTCCAGTCCTTCTCTAGAACCTCAGTGTTGCAAGCACATCCATTTTAAAGATCTGATTCATCTGTATGCAGATAGCTGGTTCCTTGCCTTTCAGGCAGATGCACTCTGACTTTGAAATAAGCTACCAATTGGTCAACTATTATGACATGCTTTTAGGTAGGCAGTGGGTCTATTCTTGCTTTCCCCACAATGGGGTCCCGGGACCCACATGGAGAGGTGCATGTCAAATCTTTAAACTGTCATTTTGACATCACTGTGTTCGTCTGCACAGTAATGTCATGTGCTTAACCAGTTTTCAACTGAAGCCCCCAGTAATATATCACTGATCACATCTTTCCGTTATGCCCTATGACAGTGCTCCACTGTGCTATTGAAAGGCATGGGAATCACAGCTCATGACGATGGCTAGTGTAACGAGCAAGACCAGGTCCCGTCAAGAAGAATCTTCCACTGTTGCCATAACTGAAAGACATGAACCCTTCCCTCTACAAATGTAGCAAGTGTGCAGATTTAAACAAACATGGGTAAGTCAAAGCTAAAGTAAGTAAAGGACCCTCTTCCACAACTTCGGGTGGATTGGGCATAAAGGGCTAGCCTTATATTTTATAGGCCAATGGGTACTTGGTGGATGATGTGGTCAACATCACCGTGGTCGCCTTTACTTCCCAGGACTGCACCTGGTAACCACTCAAGGCTGGGTCTATTTTTTTAACCAGTTCCACCAAATACCAAATGTACGACCTTTCAATCCGCAGACGAGCGTCTAGCCTCTACACCACATCGGCTCCCCACAAAAACAGGTACATGACAAACAGAAGGAGATAAACATTACATTAACCAATGGATTCTTACCACTGAGGAGGCGAGCACTAGGTCATACATCTCTATACCAGCAGACGCCAGAGCAACACAGGAAGCCAAGATGGCTGCAGATAGCGCTGAGGAAAACAAATAAAACATGCTGTTAGTTGAGAATGAAAAAAAAAAGATATAGATGTAAAAGTGATAAACCAATTACAACAACCACTGTCAACCCAAATGCACTGGGTATACTAGATATTACGCATGTGCTTCAGTCAATGTGTTTTGTATACTTGTACATCTTCAGTTTGGTCAGGCAAACTAAATCAATCAAGCAACACAATTCACCCACAATGTGCTTTGTAAACAGACCCCCATGAATAAGTATACTTATGCTTTTGTTGCCTTCAGTATTGCCACAGTCAGGCATCAGCTATGATATTCTGGGACTGAAAGGGTTAAAACATGCTGCAATAAAATCTTACAACTAAATTGGAATGTACTCCAGGGTATTATATTTACACTTGGAAGTGCTCCAGGGTATTATATTCACACTTGGAAGTGCTCCAGTGTATTATATTTACACTTGGAAGTACTCCAGGGTAATATATTTACACTTGGAAGTACTCCAGTGTATTATATTTACACTTGGAAGTACTCCAGGGTATTACATTTACACTTGGAAGTACTCCAGTGTATTATATTTACACTTGGAAGTGCTCCAGGGTAATATATTTATACACTTAGAAGTACTCCAGGGTATTACATTTACACTTGGAAGTACTCCAGGGTATTATATTTACACCTGGAAGTGCTCCAGGGTATTATATTTACACCTGGAAGTGCTCCAGGGTATTATATTTACACTTGGAAGTGCTCCAGGGTATTATATTTACACTTGGAAGTGCTCAAGGGTAATATATTTACACTTGAAGTACTCCAGGGTATTACATTTACACTTGGAAGTACTCCAGGGTATTATATTTACACTTGGAAGTATTCCAGGGTAATATATTTACACTTGGAAGTGCTCCAGGGTATTACAGTTTAACCTAGAGGTCCACTGCTCTATCTGAGATGCTATGGAGAAAAATCAGCATCTTATTAAGATCTATGTCCATACACCCTCCAGGACTAGAATTCTACAACCGACAGAGCCAGCAAGACATGGACAATGTGCACAAACAACAAATGTTCCTGTTCATAATATATAGCATCCCTGACATTAGTAGAATAGTTCACTTAGTGCTAGGTTATAATAGTTTACTATACCAACACTGCTGTGTTCACTTACCAGATCCATCATTTTGTAATACCATGACGTAGATGTTGATCTGTGACTTGGGATACTTATGCTGAAAGTGAAAAAAACAATTTTTGTCACACAAATATAAACAACACTGGTCAGACATATACAACAGGGGTCAGAGAAATCATACAGGACAATTAAATACAAAGAACAGGCGTCAGAAGAATCATACAAGACACATACAAACAATAGTGACCAGACAAATCATACATGGCAATCAACTACAAACAATGGTGGCAAACCAATCAAAAAGGACATTTTACGTACAAACATCAGGGGTCTAATAATCAGTGACCAAATACAAACATCATGGTCAACTAATCAGTGATCATATACAAACACAGTATTCTGTTCCTATGAATCTATCTCCATTCCTGTATCATTCAGGTCCTCTTTATATCGTAGCATTCAAAAAGACACCTGGACTCAAGAGCAGAGTGTGCAGAGCAAGCAATGGGGAACCATGAAGGACCTGCTACTGACATGCCAGTTCATAGAGGCAACCCACCTGATGGTCTGATCTGAGCATACAAAACCGAACGCAAAGAAGAAGAAACAAAGCAGACTTGTTCTTTTATCATCCTGACAACTATTAAGACCAACATTTTATGGGCTGTTGTATAAAAGCCCCAAAATATCCAAGTAACATTCACTCACAGCAGGAGATTCTTCAGTTGGCCATATATCTGTCATTTAGAGCTATGATTGTCCCTCACATGTCAGTGCTGAACGACAAGACTTTACCCACAAACATATACCCACCAGAGAGAACATTACAGTGGCCCTCACACATCAGTGCTAAACGACAAGACTTTACCCACAAACATATACCCACCAGAGAGAACATTACAGTGGCCCTCACACATCAGTGCTAAACGACAAGACTTTACCCACAAACATATACCCACCAGAGAGAACATTACAATGGCCCTCACAGATCAATGCTGAATGACAAGACTTTACCCACAAACATATACCCACCAGAGAGAACATTACAGTGGCCCTCACACATCAGTGCTAAACGACAAGACTTTACCCACAAACATACACCCACCAGAGAGAACATTACAGTGGCCCTCGCACATCAATGCTAAACGACAAGACTTTACCCACAAACATATACCCACCAGAGAGAACATTACAGTGGCCCTCACACATCAATGCTGAATGACAAGACTTTACCCACAAACATATACCCACCAGAGAGAACATTACAGTGGCCCTCACACATCAATGCTGAATGACAAGACTTTACCCACAAACATATACCCACCAGAGAGAACATTACAGTGGCCCTCACACATCAATGCTGAATGACAAGACTTTACCCACAAACATATACCCACCAGACAGAATATGAAAGTGGCTCTCACCCATCAATGCTGAATGACAAGACCTGATTTACAAACAAGTTCTTACCAGACAGACACTGGACTCCATGGCTTCCAGGATGCGTACTGCCATGTCCTTCTCATGTTCGTCCTGCTGGTGCATGCGTCGCTGCTTGCAGGAAAATGTCAGAAACTTGAAGTCACAGGTCAGCTGACCCTTTAAACTGAAGTCCTCTCTCCGCAACACCTCTCTGGGACCATAACTGCATGAACAATAGTTGGTTCAGAACCATTAAAGTAACCTGACGGTTAGTTAAAACCAGGAGTTATAGTTAAAAATTCTTAGTTATTGGAGAGTCAGCTAAAACTGTTAGTCACAGAAACTAATAGTTAACTTATTGTTAGCTATACCTTTTAGTTATAAACTGCTTCTAAACTTCTTCTTTCTTGTGATAAGATGACTGTTTTTAGGAGCTCCCTTTTAGTTTCATACTACTCTGGGGATGGTGTTGACTCATTGGCCAATATTCCCTTTTAAATAAATTGTACAAGAGACATACCTGCAGGACATGTTCTGCAGTTTGCACACACAGCCCACATGGGCACAATAGTGATCTATTTAGATGAATCCTGTGCATATGCTTAATAAAGTTGTTATGCCCTGTCCTGAGGAGCAAAATGATGGCATGTCCAAGCCGGTCAAGTAAGTGGTAGTCACCTCTGGTCACACTGTTTACTTCTGATAGACTGGATGGAATTTTTTTCTCAAAGTATGTTACTGCATTGACTTCCTGATCTCCCTTTTTTAGCAGGTTTATCCACGGTTTCATTTCTTGGTATACCACAGTGGGATGGTACCTACTGGAGTACAGCATGCTTCTGAGTGGCCACTCAACTAAGTTCAGATCTCAGAAGAGGGAGTTTAGCACCACTCTTGCATCTATGAAGATGACTACTTGGAGACAGTGAGAACTAGTGTATTAATATTTCAGCAGCCTGCTCTAGTGCTAGGATCTCAGCTGTGAAGCTAGAACAGAATTTACCAGTGGATATATACTTCGTGTGACGGTGGTTGTCTGGATAAGTGATAAAGAGGTCAGCATCCCCTTTTTAATTACACTGGTTGTCGATCGATCTGTGTAAGCATGTATTCAAGACTGTTTGGGACAGTTTTCCTAGATCACACTAAGAGCAGCTGATCTTTTTTAAAGGTTAATGGACTCATTTGCAGCTGTGAGTCCACTGACTGAAGTCATTATCGGATAGGTTTCAGCTGTTTGTTCTCATGGGTAGATCTGCTTGACTGATAATGTCTTTTAAGTCATGGGATGTGACTGCATACTATTAAACTTTTTAATCTAGATCATTGTTTTTCTGTCTTTTTTATAGGACAATGCCTGCACTACAGTGATTTTTCTGCATCTCCAAGATTGGAGCAGTTTTGTGGATCCTGTGATGAGTCTAAGGGCTGGATTTCACAATCTGTCAAACAACTGTAGATGGGAATTCGCAGCTGACGGCCAAGCTGTTGCACCAAACTCCAAGTGGGGTCTAATGGCTCCATTATAAATTTGATTATAAACTAATACTTTACGTTTAGCTAGAACCATTAGTTACAGTTAGAAGCTAATACATTATAGTAAGCTACAAGCACTAGTCATAGTTATAAACTAATAACTTGGCATCACTGAGACAATAACAACAAAAGAAAAATAAACTAAGTTACTTTACGTTTAGCTAGAACAATTAGTCAGTCATTAACTAATACATTTTACATTTGGCTATTAAAATTAGTTACAGTTAGAAGCTACTACCTTATGGTAAGCTAGAAGCACGTCATAGTTAGAAACAATTAGTCACAGTCATTAACCAATACACTTTACCTTTAGCTAGAACAATCAGTTATAGTCATTAACCAATACATTTTACGTTAAGCTAGAACAATTAGTCATAATCATTAACTAATACACTTTACCTTTAGCTAGAACAATCAGTTAGTGTCATTAACCAATACATTTTACGTTAAGCTAGAACAATTAGTCATAGTTTTTAACTAATACACTTTACCTTTAGCTAGAACAATCAGTCATAGTCATTAACCAATACATTTTACGTTAAGCTAGAACAATTAGTCATAGTTATTAACTAATAAACTCTAAGTTTAAATAGAACAATAAGTCACAGTCACTGACTAAAACAATTTACGGTTAGCAAGAACAATCAGTCACAGTCATCAAGTAACATACTTTAAGGTTAGCTAGAAAAAACAGTCGGTCATTAATTAATACACTTTACTGTCACTAGAACAATAAGTCAGATTGAACAGATGAAATAATAAATGACATTATTTAATTTGGGACATTCCCATGCATGCTCCGTCCCTCTCCTCTTTAGCCAACAAAGACATGGATGTTCTGTCTGATCTTTTGCAGTTTCCTTGATCCCAAACAGCCTTTGCCAGGTCAGCTTTATCATAATGCATATCATCGCCAAGAGGAGGTCATAGTTAGAAGCTACTTGATAGTAATCGTATGACTGTCACTCCCGATGGAGCATAATCCCTCATCAATTCACAATTACTCCTATTATTTGCTATTGCGTGCATTTTCGTGTCCTCCCCATAATAAATTACCTCTATCTCCAATTTTTTTACCCATGAGTTTTTAGGTCTCCTTCTATTTCTTTTGGAAGCCAGTGTAGCACATTAATTAGAGGCCTGTCTGCGGGACCAACAGTCTTGGGTTCCTCTTCTTCTCTTCTGCCTGTGCCTGTTTACATCACAGCTGTAATATTTGTGCCTTTCAGACAACACATTCAACGTCATTGGGCTAGCCTTCCCAGCTGGTTTTTGTGGGACAATGAGGCTTTATTTGTGTGATGTTCTCTTTGTCCCTTTATCTACAGGCGCAGCCCTCAAGGGAAGGCAGGGTCAGATCATGTGCATTCCCCCAGGATCCATCTCTTCTTCTTCTTCGTTCACCGGCTGTGAATTTCGGCGGAAGGTCCCGGTTAATCGTCCGCTTGGACTTTTGGCTTTTACCTGGACCTGAGTTTTGCGTGTACAACCATTTTGTTGTTCCTTGCCTCGCGGGCAGATGTACTCCGACTTCGAGGGAAGACATCAGGCCTATTTCTAGGATGACTGTGGCCATTTTTTTTTGTGGGTCGAGACATTGCCTGATTTGTGTGGTGTCCTCTATGTCGCCTTCTCCGCAGGTGTTGCCCCAGGAGTACCCCTTTGGGGCAGCCCCTTGTGGAACGGTTAGCCCTCAAGGGAAGGCAGGGGCAGATCATGGGCATTCCCCGCCATCCAAGGAGGCTTCCATGTATGCAGAGCCGGCACACGGCGCTCTGGTTCTGGGCTCACCCAGGGAATCGTCACATCCTGCACATAACTGCTTAACCTCACAACGGCATAAGGCCTCCCGCTCGACAAGGGCTGCGCCCTCCGGAGATCAGCGGGGAGCAGCCTGCGGGTTCTGGACTTTTGTGACCACGCGAATAGGTACATTCTTTTTCTTTGCACGTTAGATATCTTTGACGAGCCGTTAGCACGACAGAATTTAACATCCTGCGTCAGGCATATCGTTGTCTGTTTGGTCCCAACACTCGGACGAGTGGGGTCTTAGGGTGTGGACATTTGGACTTTTTCCTATTCAATATGATTTGTGATGGTCGGATTTTGAGCTTACTCGTGTGCCGTAGGATCTAGTTTTGTCAGACATTTAGGCTTAGCCAGCCAGTGGGCTGTTGCTGTTGTGGTGTACCTAAGCGAGGTGACGACGACACTGAGGGTTAACAGAGGATGTACATGGGTAGAATCTTGCTGTGAGACGATACCCCCAGGAGATGTTACTCGTCTGTGCTGCGGGTAAATCTCACGGTCAAGGGTTGAGTCTCAGCAGAACAATGTTCTCTTCACTCCGCAATCTTTCAACCAAGGGTTGTAATTTTAGTTGTACATTTGGCAAGCACTTTACTCAGTGTTCCTAATGAGTTTTGATAACCTTTTTCACCCATGCGTTTGGGGGCGGGCTGATGAGAGCCACAAGGACACTGCACCTCTGGGGGCCGCCAACTTCGAGATCCCATGACAGCTCTGTTAATGCTCATTTGAGACATTATCCGTGGCGCACGACGAGGACGTGCTGTAGGGGTCTTGCGTGAGGTTCCGTAAAACCAGAACAGTGAAGGACTGGCGCCCGAGTGATGTACAGAGTATCTCCTTATACACATCATGTTTGACTTAACTTTCCCTTACACCTGTGACCTGAGTCATCGCGCCACCCCAGCATCCATGGGGAAGGGGGGTCCACTGTCCTTTAACAAGTATGTCTTAAAAGGCAACTGACGATCTGCTGAAATCAGGTATGTTTTTGGTTGAAAGGCACAGATGCTGCAGCCTAGATGTAAATCACATCATAACATGCCAACTGTATTTCTAAGGGTGAACGCAGAAGTCCATCGATTCTGCTCAATAACCAGCTTGCAAATGTTTGCAGTTTATCAGAGATAGTTACAGCCATTCTGCTTGCTTCTGGTCTATAAAGAAGTACTGATCTGACATATGGACCATAAGTCTGAAGTTCTTGCTTTAGTTCATGAGCAAAGTCTAAAAACAAAGCACAAACAGTAAACAGTTCTCAAACAATGATAAAAATAGGAGGAAGGGGGGGGGGGAAATTTACATTATTATTAACTTACAGAACAACACAGAGCCTCAGTATATTTCTCATAACATGTAATAATAAAAATGTGAAATCAGAAAAATACCTATCTACTTACACAGAACATATAACTTTGGTTTGGTTCAGCTCAATGTATGCAGATCCCCTGGCTTGACTAACTACACCAGCCCTCAGAACTGCAAGAAAATGGTGTAGCAAACATTATAATATAGACACAGCCAATTATAATATAGACACAACCTGGACTTCAGAGCATATTTTTTACAATAATATTTACACTTATTTCTATACAATGATACTTACTACAGAACAGTCAGGACACAAGGGAAACACTGTTACAGAAATCAGAGTTGAACCAACACTGTTTACAATATATTATGGAAATGGAACAAATGAAACATTGTAAAAACTAAAATGCATGGAAAATGAGGTAGGAGGAATGCAGAACTAGAGTATTATTATGGAAAAGCTGGTTTAATATGGAAAAAAAGTACACACTTCTACAGATTGGCAGCCATGAAGAAGCTGATTACTCAAACAAATGTATGGATAGTTAAGTACAGCTGGCAATATTTTGTCCATGCATTTGTTATCTCAGTATTAATTCCTCTGAACTAAGTCCACTGATAATAAAATGTTCACAGGGAATCCACAATCTAGGACTAACCCCAAAGTGACCTATGTAATGGGATCAACTATGATGACCAGGTCACATACTTCAACCCCCTGACTACCATGCTAGTTAAGCCTTGCCCTTTCCCAGATACCACTAATTTTAGGTTGTGCTTAAAATGCCATAGCTTCACAACTATTCAACATAAACTTATAATACTGTGTATTTTTGCACAAAATTGAATGGAGAATGAATTTCAAGAACAAGAAATTTCTGTGGCTGTAGACTGCTGTAAAAAAATGCAACCAAAAAAAAATTTTTTTTTCCTGACAGTAATATATATATAGACTTTTTAAAAAACTCCTTAGCTTCACAACATTTTTAACACAAACCCTTAATATCTTGCAGTTTTCCAACCAAACTGAATGTTGTAGAACAAATTTCAAGAATAAAATGAACTGTGTAATCTTTCTGTACATCATCATCATCATGTGGCTGTACACTGTTGAAAAACCACAACATAACAATTTTCTGACACCAGCAGAACTAATAGTTTTTGGGGTTTTTTGGGGCTGAAATAATCTTGGATGAAAACTGCCTGAATGTGAAATAAAATTTTGCAAATTCATTTGCTGTTTGCTATTTTGCACCAAGAACATTTAATACAGTATGACTGGCCTGTCAAACACCCAAAAAAAAAACCAAAACAATCTTTTCCCTTAACCACTGCAGCGAAAAATGCATTGCGGTAAACGGCAAGGACAGCACTGTGAACCAATTATGCTAAACTCTCAGCCAGAGAGCCGTAATGGGACACAATCTACACTAATACACACTTCTGACAATACAAACCTGAAGCCCATACATGAAACAGTTTACCCGATCTAATAACATAACACACCAACCTCCGACTGCCATGCAAGTGCTTTAAGTGAAACATTATCTTTCAGTTCTGACAATGATGGCATTTCGAGAAGAATTATCAAATCAAACTCACAGTCAAGAAGAAACTGTCCATAAATATTTGTATCTTCACTCTCTGATTTAAAACAATGAAAACAATACCTCATAGCATCAGGCATATTCCTAAAACTCTTCCACCAAGCCGGCCCCAACAATCAGCTGCCATTTTCAAAACACTTGTTTATGTGCCATCCACACAGGAGCTCATGAAAAATGTACTCTAAACACTACCAAATTGTTTCTTTTATAGGAGAAGTGAATGGACTAATGGTTTCAACTACATTTATTGCAAAAGTCTAGTTTTAACATGGCGGCAAGCAGCCAAAGTAACGACTGCAGGGGTGCAATCATGGTAGCCAGGCGTAAATGTCAGTGGATCACATAACGTGCGATCGTGGTAGTCATTTGGGTTAAGACAATGGGTCCGCCTTTTGTGCAGTGACGACAGTTAAGAGCAACAGTAATAGTAAACTGGTAGTGCAGTAGTGGTTAAGCGTACTTACAGACAGGTCTTAGCTGACTAGAAATTCTGCCATCAGTTCTTGCATTATCCTGCAGACATCAATCAGAACTGATAATTTTCCCTAATATATGCATATACAAATATTACATACTGAGGTACGGTAGTTATGTTCATTACATGCCCTCATGTGTCTCCATAGTTAACTTCTCATCAGCCACTGCCAGCTTAGTGATTATAATTATCATCTGCTGCTTCTTCAACCCATCTTTTCCTTGGCTGCCCTCTTGCTCTCACATCAGATCTTTGTCTTCAACCCATTTTTTTCTTGGCTGACCTCTTGCTCTCACATCAGATCTTTGTCTTCATCATCTTATAATTTTAGCCACTATCATCCTTTTCTCATTATCAGCAGCAGCTGAGTTATCTTTGTCCCTGGTAGGCAATGTCAGTCCCTGGGCACAGTTATTAACACATCTAAATGTTACTGTGCACCCCAAGTAATTCACTACAAACCACATATGTTAAAAGAGTGCCAAAACACACATTAACAAAAAACTCACTAGCAACCAAATATACATTAACAAAAACTCACTAGCACCAAATATACATTAACAAAAACTCACTAACACCAAATATACATTAACAAAAAACTCACTAGCAACCAAATATACATTAACAAAAACTCACTAGCACCAAATATACATTAACAAAAACTCACTAGCAACCAAATATACATTAACAAAAACTCACTAGCACCAAATATACATTAACAAAAACTCACTAGCACCAAATATACATTAACAAAAACTCACTAGCACCAAATATACATTAACAAAAACTCACTAGCACCAAATATACATTAACAAAAACTCACTAGCACCAAATATACATTAACAAAAACTCACTAGCACCAAATATACATTAACAAAAACTCACTAGCACCAAATATACATTAACAAAAACTCACTAGCACCAAATATACATTTTTTTTTTAACTTACTAGCACATACATTAACAAAAACTCACAAGTGCAGATTATACTTCTGAGATGAGATGCATGAGGAAAGCTGTCTATTCAACCATCAAAGACCCAGTGAGAAATGACAGTTTAATAATATAATGAATATGACCGTAGGAACATCTTTATCAAATACAGTGAGAAGCAGAGGATCAAATGGTTTCAGCATCTTATTAGAATGCAGCAAAATCAGCCACCACTAACTCTAAAGAGAGCTTAAATGAAAACAAGAGTGCATAAAAAAGAAGCTAAACAAATAACAAACAAACAAATTTTTTTTTTTACACCAAATGACAACAGCCAGTGTTTCCCATTTAGCACCTGACTACCAACTACATCTCCGCCTGATGTTCAATGGCAAAGATAAAAGATGATTGATTTTTTTCCTGTCATAATTTTAAGTCTTCAATCTACTTTCTTGTATAAGATAAATCAATCTTTATCGCGCTCAGAGGCACATAAGGTAGAGACAAATTGTCGCCACTCTTCAATCCTGAGCCATTCTCTTTATCTCCAGTTTTGTCCTTCGCGTAGCCTTGAGTTCAGCCTCAAAAATTCGATTTTAGGTGTCTCTGGGCATGCCACTCCATCGCTGTCCCTGTGGTGTCCACCGCATTGTCGTCACTCTTTCTTCATTCTGAGGACATGTCCAATCGACCTCCATCTTCATTTTTTTTATTTCTAAATTTACATTTTCTTAGTCTGTCATTTGTTGTACTCTGTCTAAGACAAAAAAAAATATATTAAAAATTTCTGCATCAAAATCTTGCTTACCCTCATCAACATAGTGAATCAAATCAGTGTTTAAGTTTAAACTGTCTTAACTATTAGTTATTACTGCCTCAGTGATTACAACATGGCATTCCCAATATGGATTCCAGGGCATCATTTAAGGGTAAAATGAACAGACCGACTGTTCTCAACGTATGTCATGAAAAATGGTGAATAATTAGGGTGTTTCCTTCAAAGTTGGAATGCATCTGCCTGAGAAACAGTCTGCATAAAAAAATGAGCCAGATCTGTAAAATGAATGCACATCTAAAACTTAAATTCTGGAACAAGACTAGTAAAAGTCCAGAAGTGGACGAACAACTTTAATTTTCTGCCAGAAGTAACAGCCAGTGTGTGTTAGAAAGAAGAAAAAAAACTATGTGGCACCGCCATGACAAGAACAGTGTAACTGAAACATGACCTGTTCAGAGACTGGTGACTGTGTGCAACTGTGGACCCTGACTGTCTATCAGGGCTTTGTTACTGATGGTACACAGTGCCTGCACCTATTTATAAGTAGCCCATTTTTCAGCACTACTTTAATACACTTTGTGGTGAGCAAAGGCACAATTTTCAAACAATTTCTGGTAAGTACATGCACAGGTTTATTTTTTTTGGGCCTCACATTTATGGACATGGAGGTCTATCCCTGGATCGTCAAAATGGATTGCAACAGTCCTGTATGACTGCTGTTCGCCTTGGTTTGTAGAGCTCTGAACCCTGTTGTATCGTGCCTGGCCTCCCACAGGGTCCGCCATTTCCCCTGTGCATTTTAATGTGTACATAAGCAGGATAGTGGCAACAGTTGGAGAGTGGGATGGGGGCGGGGAGGGTGGGGACTTGACTTCTGCTGACGATGTTTCAGTCTACAGACAGGAGAAATAGAATAAGTTCTACCATCAATCCAGATGAGGAAGCAGTATTGTGGTGTTCACTAAAAAATAGAATCGTTAGAGAAGAGGTTCTGAACATTCCAATAAATGGTAGTCTTAGGTATTTTAGTCAAAATTTAAAAATTGGGTTTTTTACTTTTAAACCAAGACAGCTGAATAGAGGTTGAAAACCCGAGTCCAACGGTACCTAAATGAAGTCTGTATGTCAATTCTAAGCGGAGATATTCACATTTCAGTGACGGAAAGTGCCCCCAAAAAATTATAATGGAAAACACAGAAACAAGATGGCGGCATGTTCCCAAGTGAAAACTGGACCTAAATTTATCATGTTTAATGTCAATAACTCTCAAGTTTTTGGCTGAACCCCTTAGCAACCATATGTCATTGCTTTCAGGACAGCAAGCTCTAACTAAAGTTGTTGCCTTTTAAAAAATATGATGTGATGCAAACCTAAATAACATAAAAATGAGTCAATTTATCAGTATTCATTAAATACCTTATGAATTTATTATTATTATTCAGTGAGTCTTGCAAGACGTATACTGTAAAATATATATAAATACTTTTGTAACTATTCTTCCTGCTATGATGCATCTCTTTCTGTTTGTTGAATAATGCTTTTTCTCGCACTGTCACTTGTGTGTGTGTGTGTGTGTGTGTGCATACATCTGACCGAAATTTGCTTTATTCCACTGTTTAAAAAATGTTCAATAGCAAGTAGATTGACTTCATTGCATCGTTACTGTTTTAGTATGGCTTGGTCTTTCTCCACATAACTGAACGGCTAGCGCATGCTAAGAGCTTAGCACGAAGCCTGAATACCGTAGCTCCAGCAACAGCCCTCAGAGGTCTCCGCTAACCAAAAAATTTAATTTTTTAGTTGAACAACGCAGTGAACGTACCGCAACCTTCTGAGCGCGAGGTTAATGGCTTGACCACTTTGCTACGGAGACCCCCATATTGTTTTATAACCAAGTGAAAATGAGAGCCCCTCTTACTGATTTAACATAATCCTTTCTTCAGTCTTTGCGAGTTATTCTTTCATTTTATTGATGATGAGGACATTTCACCATAGTGTTCCCCTCTTCTTCTTAACTAGTAACAGCTTGATATTTTATTTACTTGTTCAAAATAATCTAAGGTAACCGCCCGATTTGTGATTCAGTGCTATATTTTTCATGGAGTAAAATTATTAAATAAGCTCCTTTGTGATTCGCTTTGGATTTATGTGGTGTTTTCATGGAACAGGATTTCATAAGGTAAGAGAAAAACTATGCAGTTAAACAAATTATATTTTATTATTAATTTCATTAATCATCAACTTTCTAAAAAAGCATATCTAAAATCTAAGGAAGTAAAAACTACAATTTTAATACTAATACATAGTATCAGTCATAAATAGTACTTGTTATACTATCTAAGACAATAAAGATGCACCACAAAATCATAGTGCAGAAATATATGGCAGACATTTTTTAACTGTCAATCTGGGGGCGGAGAGTGGGGGTCAGCAGGTAAAAAGGCCTTAAACAGGTAAGGTCCTTCATGCCCAATGATAGGTTATGGCTTAAAAAATGCTATAATGGCTAAAGATTCCAAAAATGATTTAAAAACTACTTTAATGTGATTTTAAAGTATATTAAAAAATGTTCAAACCAATGTCTGTGTCCATTTTTTCAACACTCAAAATACCCTAGCCAAATGGTCCATGTCAAAAACGTGCTAAAACATTATTTTCAGCTATTTAAAACTATTAAAACTGATGTCAAATGAAAGTTAAAGACAGTTAAATGATTAATAGAAATAAAACTTGCATTATTTTTTTATTGTTTTTATAAATAACTAGATATTAATCAATCAGTTCGTTTAGACCACATGGCGGCCATTTTGAAACATCTCCGATTTAGCTCTCAAGACACGATTGTGAACAAATTCAAACTATCAACTTCGTCCTGTACAGATTCCAACAAAACTACCCACCTTTATGTAAAAATAGACACAGAATCCAAAAATGTCAACTAAAAATATTTATATTCACTTTAAAAAGGAGATATTAAAGAAATTTAATTCCCGCATGGCAAATAGTGAAATTTACATGGCTGAACAAAGATCGCTACGTAAGTTAGGTGTCGTTTTGTAGAACGACTTCTTCTGAATAACTTTGAGCCCATGTATTCGATTCAGAACAGCCAGTATTGAGCGACGGGTTTTCAAAGTAACTGATACGCAAAGGAGCCATTTTTCGAGGACCAACGACTCCATCTTGTAACTAAGCGATCTCTACTTTCGTTTTAAAGTGGGTCACCTTCTTGATTAGAATACCTAGTAGTCTCTCTCTCACTCACTCTCACACACATACTCTCTCTCTCTCTTACACACACACAGAGAGAGAGAGAGAGAGAGAGAGAGAGAGAGAGAGAGAGAGAGAGAGAGAGAGAGAGAGAGAGAGAGAGAATTCACTAAAATATTTAACTTTTAGACAGGAACCTGTTGTTTAAGTACCATCTGGGAGAGGTAGTGTTAAAGATGAAGAAAGGGCTCAATTCGCTGAAAGTGGTGGCATCTGCTGATATGGAACAGAAAATGTTCTACACACATGATTGTCAGCTGATTATTTCAGTGATGGAGTATGGTTTGGGCCTGCTCACATTACCTAACAGACAAACAGAGAAGCTTATGACATGCCAACTGCATGCATACAGAACACACCTGCATTACCAAATATATATGAAAGATGCAAGATGTTACAGACGAAAATGTACCTTAAAGTCACAAGGGACAGGAAACACCATCTACACGAGACCTTGAAGGACAGCAAGGGGCATCAGCTGAAAAGAGGCAGCTCCTGGATGGCACAGCATGTCACGATCAGAAATGCTTGTGCTACTGACAAGATAACGAAGGGTGAGGAAGGGGTTAGTGCTGCCTAGCAAAACAGACTTGCACAAAGCACTAGTTACCCTAGACCGACGGTGCCGTGAGTGGATAGCTGGTGATAGGCATCAGTGCACGCCCAGGAGACATCATTATATACACAGATGGGTCTGTAGTGACCGGTAAAAAGAGTGGGTGGGGTTTTTATTGCAAAGGTTGATGAACACTGAAAACAGAGAGCCTCAGGTATAATGTCACAATATCCAGTATGAGAATGGAGATGTAGGCGGTAATGGCAGCTTTCTGATGGCTTGAGAGCAGTACAGACCAATATATATATATATATATATATATATATATATATATATATATATATATATATATATATATATATATATATATAGATGGTCATTGTAGCAGACTCTCAGAGCATGCTTTGGAACTTTGAAATTGGCATCCCATACATGAAGTGCTTGCTTCACTTGGCAAGACTGTTCAGGAGCAGGTCATGGATTTTCTGTCCAGGATTTGTGGGTTTGTGAGGTAATGAATAAGTTGATTGATTTGCTGCTGCTGCTCCTATGGATGGTAAGCTACATTATGATAAAGCGGAAGTGGTGAAGGCTCTCTGAGATAAAGTGGACAGTGCAACAGAACAGAGGAAGTATCCATAAACTGATAGTCTCATTAAACAAGGTTTGAGTAGGGGGTCTGGATAATATTCAATACTGCAAGGAAAACATAGGCACACTTTTAGTCAGGTTGCAAGAGGTGCTGTTGGCATGGACTCTTCGTTGGCTGCTGAAGAAGGAGACGAAGCACGTGTGAGAATATCCTAAGTGCAGGGATATCAATTCTTGATTCATTCATTCATGTTTTTTATCATCTATGAAAAAAGCTCTGCCACCCAGGATTATCATCATGGCTCATGAAGATTACTTTTTTCTGGATCTGATCTCATCACAGCCTAATTCTGAATTAAACCTAAAACATAACTACACAGCATGCCAAACAAGCACTCTTTAATCACCTTCTTAACTCTTACACATTCACAGTAAGTATGAGCTTGCTGTGTGATTACCGATTACCGTTACATTTAGCTCTTTACAACCCAAAAAGTTCTTGTTTACTTTATTTATAGTATGACATGTTTTCGTCCAAAGAGATTAAAATATTAAATATAATTATAAACAGTAATTTGATATGGGGCAAACTGACAAACAGAAGGAGGATTAGGTAAAATAAAACTAGCTATATGGTACATGAGGAGAGACTCAAATATGTATATTATATCATTGTGTTGTGTTTGAAATATCCAGGGGTGCAGCAGATATGCTCGCTGTTACTGTTAAGTATAACTTGAGTATAACCTGAGTTAAGGCAGAACAGGGATTTTATTTTAAATAATTATTATAATGAAGATTGTAGAGGATTCTGGTTGAGATTCCACCCAGTAGTCATAGAGTAGTCCTCCAACTCACTGAACTGGGTAGATCTGTTGTTAGTTGTTTATCTTGCTATTCTTTATAATTTTATATTTATTTCCGAAACGACATTAAAAAATGTGGCTATCCTCCGAATAACGGTCCCAAATTATTGAGGCCGAAAATATACCCTAGGAGGGCCTCAGTCACATGTAAACTGTGGACTTCCGGTGACTACTGCCACCGCCGAGAGTATTTCCCGCACCGCTGCACGCAGTGCGGAGTGGGGCTAAACTAGATGGCTGGGACTCAAGAGCAAATAAAATGAAGGAAGCTGCAGGAGATGCAGTAACTGCTGCTGTTAGGGACAACGACGACGCTAATATGCGTCGGAGCGCGTGGTCTTTCCGCCATGTCGCTTTTATCGTCTGTAATGTTGCGTGTCTTGAAATTGTCAATGGTCGCTCGTATCGTATGCAGAAACGCCCGAAAGTGTCAACTACAGTCAACAGTCGCTATTATCGTCTGCAGTGTTGCATCTCTTGAAATTGTCAGGTAATCCTAGTTTTGCCGCGATTTGTTTGTCGCCGCAAGTTTGCATATTTTTAATAGGACTGAGGCCCTGTAACGATATTTTTTTGACCGCCATAATGCGGGGTAGAAGTTGAAAGTTCGGAGGAGAGCCAAAATTTCATTACATTTTATATTTACAATATTGTTATTTGATTGTTATTTATTAGTGTTTTTTTTAATGCTTTGCACAACAACTATATAATTTCATTCTATTTAAAAGCGCAGACGTTGTTATGCAACACTAACAGTGTGAGGAGGAGACGAGAATAAGAAATCATAACGGCACTAGTAAATAGTAGTTTAACTCTTTAAGGCCCAAACAACGGTGTGAGCAATGTTTGAAAAGTTCCGTTTTGCCCAAACAACGGTGTCATCGTCAATTGTGTGTCCCTTACATTTTACTTCGCACGCGGCTTCATACTAGTTTCTAATGTTTGGAGGTACAATTAAACTATTCAGGGAAAGTCACTCTGCCGAAATCCTTTTAGTTTCATTTCCTGCACTAAACCATACGTGGATAATTTGAGAGAAAAACAGCAACATTTTTTTTAGCAGTTCACTTTCTAAGTTCGTTTTTGAGTGCCATGAATACCAATGTTCCAACTACAAGTACAGGTCGCAGAATGCGTCTTTCTGCGGCTGAAGCTCTGAAATTGTTTCAGTCAGATGTTCTTAATTGTGATAATGATTATAAAAATTTTGATTTTTCGGAAAGTGATTCGGACGGTGAATTTTCACCAGCAAAGCTGAGCGATCAGCTGTTCGGGATCTAGCGATTCTGATGAGTTTATTTCACAATGTCCCATACTACTGTATTTAAGGTGTAAGAGAAGGAAAGTGCTCTTAACAAAGAGACAGCACTATACTATGGCTAAGCAACACTGAAATCATCACAGCTAGTCTGTAAATAACTGTACAAAGTAAATAGTGTGTGAGTAATGGCTTATTTTTCTGCCATTTTTCTCTCTGAAATTTTGCTCAGCACTCTATGAGAACTAAGAGCTCCTGAGGGCTAAAATAACCCAGAAAGTTATACTTTGGAATATGCTAGGAAATTGAACAAACTTTGAATTTTTTTTTCTCTCAAATTTGGATATTTACTACTCTTGTGGCTGCAGAACCACGGTAAGTGAAAATTTTTTTGGTGAAACGTTGTCCTTGTGAAATTAACACCTGCTGAATTCTTGGCTCTCCTTGCAATAACGGTCGCTAGTTGGACGGTGACGACCGCTTAGTCTGAGTTCAGTCCCCTGGCTGCAATGCAATTACGAAGTGGAAAAGAGGGAACAACACAAATGACATAATTAGGGCTAGGGGTAGGGTTAGGTTAGGGATAGGGTTTGGCTAATGTGAGTCGCAGCGCGTGGTGTAGACGCCATGTTGAAGTCACTGTGTTTTGTGATTCGTGCCTTGTCCACTCCGTAGCCAGGGGACTGAACTCCGTCCAAGTAGCGGCCGTCGCCGTCCAAGTGGCGGCCGTCGCCGTCCAGGTGTAGCGGCCGTCGCCGTCCAAGTAGCGACCGTTATTGCAAGGAAAACCGAATTCTTCTTTTCCACTAACTAAACAAAATAATCGAAATTAAACAAACACTACACTTAACATTAATAACATCAGATTCAGAATTTTCATTCATTTCTCTTTTAAAAAATATATAATTTTATAGGGATTATAAGTATATTACAATCTCTATAGCCTTTGATCTTTGTTGTGCACCCAGCCCTCTTCCATTTTTTGTAAAGGGAAATTAATTTTTGGCCAAGTCTGTCAAAATCCATGGGCCTGAAAGTGAAAGAGTTAAGTTAGTTTACGGACTTTACGTACCACTTCCATACAGTCGGAGATGGCGACTCCTGGTTTTTTCTCTGCCGAACAACAAAAGTCGTAAGGACTGAAACATTCTTCAGGTCCAGTCAATCTGCGGGAATCTCTCGGCATTCTATAAAATCAGTCCAGTAAAAATATCCAAATTAAAACAAGAGAAAAAAAGGCGTTTAAAATGTGATCCAAACTTTTGCATTCACATGGACTTCCAAAAACGGATGTACCTAGCGACATCTAAAGAAGGGCTCGCTACTCTCTTTTCATTATCATCCTGTTGAGTCGTTTAAACCATACGTCACATAGAATAGTGTCTCGCCCTCCTAGAAATGCTACTATCTTGTTTAAGGTAAAGATGAGAGGATCAACTTCATTGCACCGGTTTTTTTTTTTTTTATCTCACATGACATGGCATGGCAGAAAAGCTAGCTACATGCCGAGAGCATCGCACATAGGACTACCCCCGTAGCCCCGACGACGATCCCCATGGATCAGCGCTCGTTTTATGGTTTCTCTTGGACATCCTCGATTCCTCGATCCATTTGTTTCCCTTTTGGTGTCCCTCCTTTACTAAATTTCCTTCTTTATACAGGTGGACAAAATCCGTACGATTTTTATCCACCGCAAAACAAGGCAAGGTATCGAGTCAGACCCCCCCCCCCCCCCCCCCCCCTTTTTACTGCGTGCTATTGATCATATTACCCACCGGTAGATTGACCATAATATTTAAAGCTGAAAACGGGACAAAACCACAGTAATTACGGCTGCAAGGAATCCATATTTTGAGCTGAAAACAGGACACATTAAGCAAGTTGGTAATAATTTCTTTTCGTAAAACAAATGCCTTCAAGACCTCTTCATCAGGTTTTTAAAATTTTTATTTTCAATCTGCCTGTATGTTCTCGTCATTTGTCTTTCAAACTTCATATCTGTCGTTTCTATACAATCTTTCACAAATCGGCACCGCCCCTGATTTACTTCCGTACATCAGGATTGACTGCATATAGATAATGAGAACTCTCTTTCTCATCTCAGCTGACAAAGATAGATTGTACAATATTTCACTTTGTGGAAGATATGAAATACTCTGTACGACATAGTGCAAATAAAGATAACAATATAGTGTATATCCCCAACTATAATCCTAAATCTATTATTGAAGATATTTCGCCAGGACACACGTAAACCAGCTACACACCATACTAAAAAGCATGACGTAGCTGCTGCACAAAAGACAGGCATTCCACATGAACAACACAGCTCACAGTGCTGCACTTAGCACTTTGCTCAGTAGCATAGACACGAAACCATATACTTCTGTCCCTCTGTGAAAAATGCATTGACCAAGCACTTTCAGAAGCACACACTCAAATTTGAAGCTAAATATTCTGCCTTACCTATCCTCCATATTGGGCCAAAAGTCTTTACAACATGGATCCTGTAGATGATTGGAGAAACAATGCACCCAGGCTTTTGAACATGTTAGGAGAAGGAATAAACTCGAAAATGCTGTGACAGCTGGCTTTATGAGGGGAAAAGCTGCAAAATGAAGACAAACATGAATTTGCCTAACAGACTGGGTGAGACAAGAACACACACAGACGTGATCTGTGATTTGGCTTATTCTGTGAGAGGGGGCGAGGGCCATGTCCGCTTCAGTTTTTCATAAATGAAACTAGATTTCAACATGTGGACTAAACTAGAACACATGTAAACAAAAAACAGAATGCAAACTGTAAACTAAAAAATAATGCAACATGTGAGCTAAAACACAAATGGAATCTAAGATACACAACAAAACATGCAAGCTAAAACACAGAATACAACAAGTGAACTAAACCATGCACCACAACATGTGAACCAAAACACACATCACAACATGTGAACTAAAACAAGGAACACAACATGTGAACTAAAAAACTAAACACAACATGTGAAGCTAAAATAAGAACACAACATGTCAACTAAACAAAAGACCACAACATGTGAACTAAAACACAGAATACAATAATAATTATAATAGCTCCATACGGGAGCATGTACAGCAGGGGTCCCTTGGTCATCAGTAGAGATCCTTTGTAGACAATTGTTTTGGCCCATTACTTCCCTAAACAATCTCTGAAGGTGGGCCGACCTGGGTCATGAAGCCAGGCCCTGATCTTCACCTGCTGCACTTCATCAGACTCGATAGGGACAAGACGATATGGTGACTTTGCAACAGATGCTATGAGACTGGTGATAGATTGTCGCTGCGGTAGCAAATTAGATAAGCTGTCTACCTTTACGACCAGAATGAGAAGATATGGGTTGGTTCATTGAATAATTGTTAGACTTTGGCATTTGGCAGAGAGACACCGGCAGACATTCATTGGACATTTTGGCTTTTAACTCTTTGAGTCCCAGAGGGTTTAGCATCGCAGGCCCAGGGCTTAGTAAAGAAAGTAATAAAATCGGCACATCATGCGTTCATTGGGCTTCTAGGTTTGAACCTATGAACGTATGATGCGTTCCTTGGGACTGAAAGAGTTGTTGTTGTTATCGATCCAGCGGCGCATGAGCTTTCGCCCTTTGGCCCAATGCCATGTAGTGGAATTTGCATGTTTTCACAAGCTGTTCTTTTCCTCCGTACAAGGTGTTCCACTTGTCTGGTCTCGGAGGGAGTAGCGTTCTTCTTGTCTCACTGAGTTTTGGGCACTCAAAGAGATGGTGTTCAACAGTTTCGTAGGGGTAGTTACATAGCTGGCACTCTGGGGAGTGTTGTGGCTGTATTCTGTTTAGGTGTCCATTGAGTGGAGTATGTTGCGTTCTAAGTCTGAAGATGGTGGCCTGGTCCCTTCTTGTTAGATGGTTAATGCTGTCATTAGGATCAGGGCCAGACATATGTCTATAAACTTCTCTTCCAGTGTCTCCCATGGCCCATCTGTTCAACCAAGTCTCTTTGTTTATAGCTCTTATCAGTGTTTTTGCTGTCTGGAGGGTTGTCGCTGTAGGTGGTTGTTCTTGTGTTGCTCCTTTCTTTGCCAATCTGTCAGCTCTGTCATTACCTGGTGTGCCGGAGTGACCTGGAATCCACTGCATCACTATTCTGATGTTGTATGAGGTAATAAGATGATCGGCATCCAGGATTATCTTGGCTATGTCAGTTCTGCAGCGTTCATTGCCCTCCAGAGCTTGAAGGGCAGACATTGAATCTGTGAAGATGACAATATTTTGGACCTTTGAGGGGTAAACATCCATTACAGTCTTTAGGTGGTATACTGCTGTTTCCAGTGCAATTATTTCAGCTTCATAGTTTGAACAAAATTCCCCGCATGCATCAAAAATCTCTTCAACAGATCCATCGGGATAACCTATGTAGATTCCGTAACCTGCTTTAATGGTAGCTTTAAATGCTGATCCATCAGTATAGACATGTATCCATTCTTGGGGGTAAGAATCAACGGTCTTTAGTGATGAGTTCATAAGAGCGATTGGGTCGGACTGTTTGGTTTCCTCGCCTACCAATTTAGTTTGGACTTCTGGAGCTTTAAAGCGAGCATGTGGTGGTAGGTTTTTTGCAACATTCTGAATTCCTTGACGTCTTTCTGGGAGGTGGTATCTGTCCTGAATTTCATTTACACAGTGTAAAACCGATTTGTGCTTTATTCTTTGTTTGGGTTCCCAGTTTTCTACAAGATGTCTATTAGGATGGTTACGATTTTTCCTAACGCATCTTTCATAAATTTCTAAAGTGGCTTTTTCTCTCCGCAACCCGAGGGGTTCCACATTTGTATGGATTTCACATGCAGCAGTTGGTGTAGACTGCATAGCTCCGCAGATTAATCGGAGGGCATTATTTTGTACTCTGTCAAGAGTCTCTAGGTTAGTTTTGGAGACTGAAAGAGTTAAGTGATAAGACGTTCTTTTCCACAAGGGACTCGGACCAGTCTACCGAGGCCCATCCACTATGATGTTCCCTAGCGTCCAGAGCCAGCTCAACGCTTTTTCAGCAGCTTCACCTTCTTGTTTTAGTGACTGTTTACTCTCATTTCCTCGCAAGCCAAGCTGCTTTAGCAAGTTGTTTGTGGAAGTGGAGATGAGACCTCTTGTGCCTACCTCGACGGTGAAGATTTTTGATGTGTACTCTTCATCCCTCCCCAGTACGGCCACGAGCTCTCCGTACTTCTCGAGCTTGTACAGGTGATTTTCAGACACACGCGACTTATACGGCATGGTCAGCTCAATCAGGGTGAACTGGCGTTTTTCCGCAGAGTGCAGAACAATGTCAGGTCTCAGGATGGTCTTCCGGATTGACTCTGAGTACCTTTCAAAATCAGGCAGGTCGACAGCCAGTAACCAGTCCCTTGCACAGTAAAGTACTGATGGAGCATATGTGACCTTGTTGATTTTACCTTTATAAGTCTGCCCAGACTTGAAGCGCATGGTGGTGGCAGTAGGACTGGCCCTCGCCCTGGTTTGGTCTATAATGTCCGCTAACTCTTTCCGGACTTTATTAGGGCTAAAAGTGTATTGCCCCTTGTTAGGGCGTTTCTGCATGTGGACAATACGTGCTCGAGCATCTGCTTAGCTCTGCACAGTGGGCATGTTGGATCGGTAGTCACATGCCATTTTGCCAAGCTGACGCCAGATGGTAACACATCGCATGCAGATCTTATGACAAAGCTCCACTGCAGTGGGCCCATTTGACAGATCTCACCCCATGTAAGTATTCGTAGCAAAGTGCTCTAAAGGCCAACTTATCAGCCTTGCTGTGCTGCTTTTTGGACCCAAGTCTCCTTTTCGGTGTCCCTTATCTGCTGTATTACCATTTCTCTGAGCTCTTTGGACCACTAACTTACTTTCCCATACCCCAAGGACGAGTCGGTCAGCTTGTGTGTAACCCATAACTTCTTTCAATTTCAGCACTTACAATATGTAAACTAAAACACAAACAATATGTAAACTAAAACATTTGACACAAGACGTAAACAAAACCATAAAATGCAAACACATAATGTGTAAACTAAAACAGTTTAATTGACTGGCAAGGGTTAACACGCCTTGAGTGCAAAAACTCTCAGTAATCTGAAAATTTGAATTTAGTAATTAGCAAACAAACAGCTGCAAAACGTCTAAAA